CCGGGCCGGGCCCACGCCCACTGCACTATACTTATGAGTGAACAAGCACTGTTAGAAAAGGATGTCACACCCTTTATGACTTTTTCTGGAGAAAATGCTACAAAACATTCTGTACCAGAAATTCTGCTTATTCAGGCAAAATCCTTCTTAGAGAGCTTTCAGACTTGAATGAAATAAATGCTGTAGGGCAGTTACTTAATTCTAAAATAGGAAACAACAAATCTCTGGAAAAGAGAGTTGCTCAAATTGGAAAGTAGTTGACAATAGTATGCTGTGGGATTTTAAGAGTTTAAGAAATTTCAGCTAGTGTTTGCTGGAATGTTTATATACTGTGCTATAGTTTAGTGAAGATAGTAGAGGACAGAACTTTTCAAGCTAGTTACTCGTATCAGTATATAACTGCATCAGCTACTGATGGTTTCTTTGATCTTATACATGATGGTGGACATCTTTTTAAAAACAAACATTACTTCAGTCAGAGTAATGGAGCTCTGAGTAGTCTGAAATCTGTAAGTGGTTTTGTGACAACTGATTCAGTCCTAGAGGGCTTGAATGCTTTAAGTAGCTGAGCACTGATGGGGTGTGCTTGGAACTAGGATATCTCTGGGGGAAAGGGATTCAGGCAGATGTAATTCTTGCACCCTCTTTCAGTAATTGAAAATGTTAAAACCTGTTTTATTAATGAAAAGGGAAAGTGTATCCTTTTGGTTTACTTGCCAAGTTGGAAGTTCTCAGTACAGCTCTTAGTGTTGCATCTGTCAACTTTTTCTTTAAAATATTTGTACTATTGTTTCTAAAATCTTAGTATAAACATCCTATTTGTAAGTGTCTGGATCTGTTTACTGATAAACTTGTGATTGATTGATCAGATCAAATATAACAAGTACTGACTCATCCTGCAGAGAAATGATGGAAGAGCCCATAAAAGGATAAGTTCCTTAAGTTTGGGTCAAGTCCTTGACCCAATCCAGTTTATGTTGCTGGATTTTTTTTTTTCATAGTCATGTTTAGCAGGGGTTGGTATTCATCATTACCTGTCACTGTATTCCCTGCTCGCACTGTCAACTTTCCCTGTGCACATCTCTTATGTGCCAAGTGTCTTAGAGCCTCTTTTCAGTGTTCAGTTAATCTTTAGGGTCTCAGCATCTCCTGATGCTTTGATCAGAACTTACATGTGTAGCAATTTATTTCAGCAGTCACAAATCTTTTGCTCACCAGTCAAGGGCAGAGTAAAAAGACAAAAGAAAAAACCCTCGTAAAAACATGTTTTCAAAGCTGTCTTTACCAATGAGTTGTTCAAACCAACTAATGCTCCCCTCCTTCCCCCACTCCCAAAAAAAGAAACCTGCAAAGAAAACCCAACCAGACACCCCCCACTCTCCACCTTCCTTCTGCCAAGGTAACCAGGGTAGATGTATTTCTCAAAATGGCATTGCAGGACATGAGGCAAAAAAAAGATAAAACGTAATGGTCCTGGGATGATTGCTAAAATGATAGGTGTGGGGCTTTCAGGGCCTTGGTTGCTCTATGTTCAATGTCAGGGCTTGAAAGGTTTTCTAATTAGCTTTTATATGTTTTCTAACAACAATGAAACAATCCAAGCAGTAGATTTTTGAAAGAAGATCGCTGTTCATGGGTAGTTGAAGTCACTATTAATCAGTAACATGATTTAATACTGATCAGACTGTTTTATTTTTAGAACGTGCTTTGTGTTATGTTACAGTAATTCATTATTTATTTCATGTTGGCTGTCTGGTGTAAGACATGATCTCTTTTTCAAAGAATAGTAAGAATAATGCATAGTAAGAGCAGATTTATTCTGTGTCAGGAATCATAAGCTCTTTGAAAAATTTACTCAGTTTCATAGTTGTTCAAGATGACCACAACTTGAAAGTTTATGTTTTTCTGATCAAATAAGTTCTGTAAAATATGTCACAAAATTTCATTCATATGAGTTGCCTTTCTGATTCTCCTACTGTTCTTGGGCTGTAGAGCAGCAGTGCCACTTTGGTGTCAAAAACTTCTTGCGCAGACTTTGTTGCAGTGAAATTTGTGTAATATACAAACACTGAGGGATGTGCTGTAATAGTTGCTGAAGTTCATCGAAGCCACAGAGTGTATCAAAAAGGAAGATCCAGAGTCACAGTAGGTCTGAGGTATTATTTCATAAGTAGCTCCTTTCCTCACCTGACAAATACAAAAATTATTATTTCAAGCCTTGTCTATTTCTTACTATTGTAAATCTAACAATTTGGGGGAAGATGAAAAGATGAAAACACACACAGTTAGTTGATGTTGAAACTCATCTGAATCTTCCCTGAAAGGCCATTTCTCCAGTGGAATTTTTATAGGGCTTGCAGCCTCACGTCAGGTTCTGACCTAAAGGGTGACAAAAGCCCTCAGCAGAGCAGATGCAACTCTGTTTTCATTCCAGACCGTTATCTAGAGCTTTAATGAGACTCACATGAATTCAGTCTTTGGTTTTTTGCCCACTAAAAGAAGGAAGAGCTGAGAGTATGGCCATAACCTGTTTAAACTGATATGCTCTACTTAATGAACAGGAAACCATATATGGGTTAACTGATGTTTCTGAATGCATTTAAGTGCAGTAAACGAGTGAAATCTGCTAAGGACTGCATAGACAGGTCCACTTCATTTGGAGCCAGTGTTTTGACTGAGGAGTTTAAAGAGCTGAGCAATGTCCTTCAAGTTATTGTCCCATTCACTTTATCGTATCACCATGTTTCCTTCTGTTTATGGCATTACACTTTGAAGTGTTTTGATAGAATATCTTAGTACAGCAAATACTGAAAGGTGAAAATAGTGACTTTCTTTTTCTTTTTTTTTTTCCTGAGCAAGAGAAGGGGTGAACCCCAGACAGCTGGGTATTACCATTATGCAGTTAGCAAAATTAGACCAAAACATCATGCCTCAAATTTTTAGGAATTAAAATCTAAAACTGATGGTGGAGGACAGCATTCAGCTGCTTGAACTTCCTTGGAATGCTTGCATTCCTTGAGAGTGAAGAAATGTCTAATCTTGACATTTGCCTCCAAACTTAAGAAAACTCAAACTAACAAAGAAACCCACCTCACTGCTTTTCTTGTCAACTGCAAATACACATTAAACAGCCCTTAAAGTGAAAATTTTGTAATTGGAAGAGAAGCATATACTTGATATACTCAATAACTGCTTTTTACCACTTCATCTTCTTTTAACAAGAGCTAGTAGCACATCTTTGAGATTATCTGTAGTATGGGTGTAGGTAAGTAAATAACACCTCAAGGAAAACTTGTGTTTGATTTCAGAGGGTCAGAGTGTTTGACATAGACACACAGTCTGATGTACACATTGTTTTGTGGCCACTGCTTCAGGAAAAAAGCAAAAAAAAGGGAAGGAAATAAAATCAGTTGATTAATATTTTTTTAAAGTAAGAAGAACTCAATAAATGCTTTTTTTATTTTTTGAATTTATGGGGGTTTCTTTTGGCTGAATGTGCTTCATAGTACTCACCTTTGTGATCTGAGAGGTAATTAGAGGATTTGTAATATCCCACTGGTTTGATCACAACTCATGCTCATTACATTTTATAATGAGTATATAGCTTATAAATAACATTTTGAAGGTATAAGGTTATACAGAGATAATTACACAGCTGAAATGCATTGGCACAAGGCCAAAGCCTAAGCACTTTCCACCATCCCTCCTAAATTGAATAACTTCACTTTATGAAGTGTATCATCAGAAATTGTTTTCATTAGTCCCAGAGGGCAAATTAAGGTTAATAAAAATCCAATTCCAGATTACCCATATATGTGAATATTCGTATTTGTAGAACCTTTCTTTGTCAATTACATTCCTCACTGACTGTGTATATGTGAATACAAATACGTAGGTCAAAGCTTCAGCTCACATTTCTGCAATTTTTAACTGTTTTACTGTTCTCTGAGACAGACCTCCTCTAAACTTGATTGTGAGACCCTGCAAGATTTTTCAAACTGAGCAAAACTATGCGCACTCCTTCTGCTAAGCTGTGGTTTCTCAAATGCCCTGAGTCCCACTGTCCTGAGTTTCACTTGACCCGCATAGCATTCATTCAACCCATCTGCTTTGGTCCTCAAACCCAGTATTTGTATATTCTCTTCTTTAAATGTTGTGTTAAATAGCATATTCTTCTTACTTCGTACAAAGTATTTTGTGAATTCTTTAGCAATCTGAGAAACCCTTTAGTAGAGGTGAATGGGGGGTAGGCTTTTCCATTTCCCTGTGATAAATCAGTTACATATGTAATCTGAATTAGCACACGCATATTGAAGTCACCTCTTTTCATACTCTGCTTTTACAAAATTATAGTCTTGTTTACAAGTGTCTTCACTCTGCTATTGCATGCCCTCCACTTCTTTCCACTTTCCAAAAAAGAGGTCACCTTCTCACTTGATAAGATAACTGTTTTTGGCTCTTAGCACAGGAAAGAACATTGTATATGAAGAATAATATATAAGAAATGGCTGAGTGTACAGAAATATTTACCTACTATAATCTTTCAGTCTCTAACATTGTGTGTTTGAGGGACTTCGTTTTTCAGAGATGGTGTCTTTATCACTTGGTGGATATTTTTGGTCTATGAATTTATATAATCTCATAGCACAAGCAATAACTTTTGGCAGAATTATGCTATTGCTAACATTTTGGTATATTTTTTAAAAGAAAGACGTTTTTCCACTTCAAAATTAAATTAAGAGATTAGTAACTTGCTTTTTTTGATTTTAACATTAAATGAAAAAGTCTTTCACCAATTAGTTAATATACTCAGTCTATTACAGTGCCATTATTGAAGAACAAAGCATTACAAAAAACAAAGAGAATTAATAATTGGGAATGCTTGGTGGAAAACTATATAAAGGTGCCTTTTACAAATCTATGCAACCTGTTAGGCAATTGTTGTTTGGGGTTTTTTTATCTGGTGGATGAAACTACGTCTGAACAACTTTTTTCTACAGGTTATTGACATGCCAGAACACAATCCTGGAGATATGGGGGGAACGATGAGACTGGGGAAGAGGAGGACTGTTTTCAAAACAGAAAATTCTGTTTTAAGTAAGTAATTTTTCTGCTGTTATGACTTGCCCTTTGAATTGGAGCTCTGTAACATGGAAAAGCAAAAATGTCAAAGCACATTTTTTTAAAGGACTATAAGCTCAAGCAAGCTGTTGGGTGACAACTTCCCTGAGCTCATTCACTCTGATCCTGTTCCCATATTCATTTACTGAGGACTGGAATGTAAAAAAGAAATGGGAGACATCTGTAATTCCCAGTGAAACTGTCAGTTAGAGTCCAGTGCTTTAAATAAACAATGAGGACAATGTTGAGATAACTGAAATACATTTCATGGTAGTTTAATTCATTATATTTTTGGGAAAATCAGAGTGCTTTCTTCCTATTTTCTTTATGAGCTGATAAGATGTGTGAGCCGGGGCTTCTTATCCTACCCCTGAAGCTTTCTGGTAGAACTAACCCAAACTCTTGCCCCTTACACTCTTCCCAGACCTAAATGTTGCTTCCCTAGAGTTGCCAGTGCACCTCAGCCTTAAACGTCTTATGGCCTTGCTGCCTTAGTCCTTACCTGTCTTGACAATGTTCTCTAGTAGCCAGGCCCTCCTTAACACCAGTCTCTGCCCCAGCACTGCCCTAGGCCTAGCCCAGCCCTGGAAACAGTCTAATTTTGGGAAATTGAAGTAACACTTGTCTCATATTAATCAGCCCATTATACAGGAGTAATATAAATGATACTGTAAATGTGAAAAAAGTAGTTTCTTGTTCATTGATTACGTATGGCCATATTTCTTATATTGCCCTGCGCCTGACATTGATCTGAGCTATTACTATATTTAGTTATGTTGAACTTATGGAATGCGTCCTTCTGAACTTTTTTAAAATGACACCTACTTCAGCAGGAGACCAAAGTGTAATACATGTGTGCATTTAATGAAAAATCTGCCTTTCTAGAGAATGCTCATGCTGGTGATCTCGCTGACTTGGGTGATACTTTGCCTAGGTGTGATATAGATATGCACAAGTTGTTCTACGGCCCAAACACTTAGAAAAGTTAATAAAAATTAACAAATGTTGTAACTCTTGACCAGTATTATGAACTGTTTAGATGACAATATTTATCAAAGAACCATAAAAAACTCTGGTATTTTACTCAGGAAACCTGATTTGACTTTCTAATGCTTTACAACTTGAATGAAAGTAATGGTTTTGAAGAGATGGTTCTTTAAAATTAATGTATGCACCACTTCTTATAAAATTGCAATACTGTCATTCTACAGTTTTTGGAAATGTTCTTGGCAGTCTAGTTCTTGTACCAACCCCTCAGCAAGGTAGTAATTCTGATGACCTTGGGGTAAATTGAGAGCAAAGTCTGAGCCGTGATTGTAAGTGAGAGATATGATTATAATCTGGTTTACTGCATACTTCTAACTTATTCCTTATTGCTGTGAAATCTGGAGTGTTCCAGATTACACAGAGGACTGCAAGAGTCATTTGGGTAATGAGATCAGGAAAACAGAAAAAAACAATATTCTCTGTTCTTTGGAGGTATTACGCCAGCTGCCATGCATAATCTATTAAAATGGAACAGATGCTACTAAAAGCCTTCCTTCCCTGCACGTTTTCTGTACCACTGTTGTAAAACCCTGAGGGGATTTTATATTGCTTTTTTGCTCAAACATTTTTTAATTTTATTTTGAGCTTTACAATTTAAATTAGTTTAAACATGTCCTTTAGTCTCTAGTCTGCCTAAGGTATTTCTGGTCAATAGAAATAGGGATCCTGAATAAACTCAGGTAATGCTAAATTAAAAGAATCTAGTCATCACTCAGGAAAGACAGAAAGCTGGAGTGAGATTAATAGTTTCTTGTTATGTTTTACATGTGACTTTTTTGAGGTTTAAATTACAAGAAATAGTTGTAACAACTATTAAAGCAACACATTAGCATAAATTTATTTTTTGTTGTATATGCAGGGAAGCTTTATGGTGATGAAGCATTTGTAGAGGAGCGACACAGGCATCGATATGAGGTAAGCGCTGCTAATGTACTTTATGCTCAAAAGTTAAAACTTGAGCAAACTGTGTTTCTCTTGGTAGGCAGAAAAAAGCTGATGGGAGTTTTCTTACATAAGCATAAACCAAAATTTAGTAGTGGTCAGATGGTATAATTTAGATTGGAAGGATCCTTTCGAAGTCTTTTGGTCCAGCTCCCTGTTGGAGTTGAGCCAACTTTAAAATTAGATCATGCCACTCAGGATTTTGTTCCATCTTATTTTGAATCTCTTTCAAGAGAGAGTTTCCACAACATCTTTTGACAATTTGTTCCAACGCCCTTGTATCTAACAGGAGAATTCCTTGAGTAGTTTGTCTTTTTAGTCTCAGTTATGTGCTGTGCATCTCTGAGCAGAGTCTGTCCCATTAGATAGTTGAAGTCAGCCATGAGATCCACTCTTGGCTTTCTCTTTCCTAGGCTGAACAAATCCAGCTCGTCCAGTCTCTCCTCCCATGTTGCACATGGCCTCTAACCATTCTGATTGGACTTCCTATGAGCTCTCAATATTTTTTCAATCTCTTTCTTGTATTGAGGAGCCTGAGTGTAGATACAGTATTGCAGAGGTGTTCTTGGAAGTGTTCAACAGAGGGGAATAATGTCAGGTACTGTTTCTGGGTTGGAGAAGATGCAGTGTCTAGCAAAATGGTCTTGGAGAGCTGTATCAGAGATTACCTGGCTTGGTTTCTTGTGAAACACTTGGAAGGTAAAGGCTTGTAATCCTTAAATGCACTAGCCAGTTTGGCTAAAGGCTTAGACTGTGTTTAGGTAGTGCGTATTCTTTCATGGTCTAAATGTAGGCAGACTTCAGACATCTACAACTCAGAGGCCAATTCACATCACTTGCTTCCTACCATCCAGTTGTGTATGTCCCTTGTTATGTGTCCGCTCCTCTGTTTGTGAACATGTGGGAAAAGGTGTCCAAATACTTTCAAAATACTGTCATGAGGACACGGAGTGGACTCCTAGAGTTATTTCTGAGGTAGTTCAGAAGGGGCCTCACTCCATCAGTGTCTCAAGAAGGGCCTGAAGTATGGGATGTGTGCATGCTGTAACTGATTCAGACAATGTTGTTTCCTTAAAACGTGGGGGGAGAATGTAATGGTGGTAAATGTGCTCAAAGTTGGAATGTTAACTGAGTGGTTAGAGCATCATCGAGGGCATGAGACAGCTCACTGCAGAGCTTCTCAGTTTGAAGGAGGAGCTGAACCACAGCTTGTGTCATAACCACTGAAATGCAGTGTTCAAAGGGGAGGTTAGTCTCTACACCTAGTCTAGTGGGCCACTGGAAAAAGGAGGAATGCAAGCTGCTCAGAATCAGGAGGACAGCAAGCAGAAGGGACCCTGGCTTTAGTCTTTTGAATGTTGCATAGTAACTTACTGATTAATCTCTTTATTTAATAAGCATGCACACTTTTACAAATTTATACTGGAGAGTTGTTAAAACAAGAAAGCAAGAGTTCCCAGTCCTTTCTCAATTCTTTTCATTCTTGTATGCATGCTAAGTTACTATTAACTACTACTGTTTGTTAAATCCAAGAATAACAATTATTATTATTTTCAATATATCAGGTGAACCCAGAATTGACTCACTGCTTTGAAGAGAAAGGTTTGAAATTTGTTGGCCATGATACGGAGGGGAACAGAATGGAAATTATTGAACTGGAGAGTGAGTGTCTTGTTTGTAGCACTTTTTCCATGTTAAAACTGTATAAACTATAGGTTGTTAAATGACATGCAGACACGATATTAAGCTGTCATAACAGCCAAGATCATGTTGGGGGATACTGCTGACTCCATCTGTGTATTACAATGGGTGAAAATTAAGAGTGTGTTAGGAAAAGTCTTAACACTTCGTAAGGGTTGTGCATGTATTTGATTATCAGGGACAATCACGCTCCTTTTCCAAAAGGTCATAATTCTAGCTCAGGGGGATTTGGCTGTGTAGAATCATTCAGTGATTTAGGAGGTCATCTCTCCAACCCTCTGCTTCAACACAGGGCTACAATCAAATACAGGTCAGGTTGTCAAGAGTTTTATCAGTCAAGTTTTGGGTATGTCCAAAAACTTGACTGGTATCCATACTCTTTGAATGCAGCAGTCTGGCCATTTTGTGGTCTACCCATAGTCACAACTTCCAACCATATGCTAGGAAACCATATCAAAAGCCTTGTTGAAGTCAGAATTAAGGAAGGCTACTGCTTTCCCTGCATCCAAAGACAGACTGTTCTCTTTAGCTTGTGCTAAACTCTCTTCCTGTCCTTCATGTGTCTGGAAATGCCTTGGAGGAAGATTTGTTTCATAATCTCGACATAAACTGAGGTTAGACTAACTGTTCTGTGGTTCCTTGGATCCTTCTTTTTGTCTTGGAGAAGGGCATGGTAACTGCCTTTTTCTAGTCATCAGGGACCTCTCATGATCGCCTTGGCTTTGTAAAGATAAAAACTAACTTCACAATGACATTGCCCTGCTCCCTAAGGACCCTCAAATATTCTTAGTCAGGTCCCAATAACTAATATGTGTTCAGTTTGTTTGAGTATGTGAAATGTGTATACATACAATATAACCAAAGTATAAACCATTACTAGAGTATGTTGCCTAGAGAGGCTGTGAAATCTTCATCCTTGCAATTGAGACCTTCAGAGCTTGACTAGACAAACTGTCAGCAACCTGATTTCCCTGATGTCCCTGCTTTGAACAGAAGGTAGGAATAGAGGCCTCCCAAGGTGCCTTCCAGTTACTTTGTGTCTCTTCCAGTTACCCGCTGGTTAGAATCATTGAAAAACAGTGTGAAAATTAACTACAAAGCAAGCTCCTTTCTTACATGGAAGTGATTCAGAGAGATGAGTGACACTTCGGAAGTTTAGTAGATTTGGACTACTTTGTTAAGTAAGATGATGTCTTTTCTAAAAGATTCTGAAATAAAAAGGACCTACACTGCATATATTTTTTCACTGGTACACAGAGTAGTTCTTCAAAACCATCCTTTTGATTTTGCATGTATATTTGGTTAACTCCTTGCTCTTAAGTCACTGTTGGCTAGATAAGTATCAGGCACCTGAAGATGTAGGCTACTCTACAAGATTTTTTTTCCTTTTCTGTTCTTATGTGACCCCTAATTGCCATTGGTCAAGATAAACTCCATATATAGAAACAAAAATTCATCATAAGAATACATTATTAGCCTATGGAGTGCTATTTGTTGCATGATACACCTGAGAATTCATTTTATATACTCCATGGTATGTTGTAATTTTGAACCAGGTTTGATATATAGACACCTACTTGGAATGTCAAGCAGCTGCACCATAGAGAGTAATCTGAGAGCAAAGGATACATGTGAATTCTTAAACTACTAACAGTCATGGGTGTTCTTGGGTTAGTTTGTTCCTGACAGATTGCCTCCGTTACACATGGTGGTGTTGGGAGGCTACTTTGCCCTGCATCAAACAACTTCTACAGAGAACATCGTGAAATAAATCAGGCAGAATTTTTAAATTGCGTGTTACTGTGAAAAGAAGAAAAGCAGCAGTAAAACCTGGAATTATTTCATAATGGGCTGCAAGGAGACTCTGTTTACTAAAGAAAAACAGTCATCATAAGGAATAGGGTAGGTTGGAGCAGAAGCACAGAAATAACAGTACACCAGATAGCTTAAGGCAAAGCTTTTAGGTTTTGGAACTATTTAGTACTTTGTCATTGAAGTTATGATATAAATCTAGGATCCCTTTGCTCTTTAAGATACAACAGCAGAGAGAAGAACAGTATACTAGACCATATAGTTTTATCTTCCTAGAAGAAAATCCCTGATTTCTTGTTGCCACCTACTCTGTGCTGCAGAGAAATTCCTTGAATGTTTAGGATTATTTTGGAAAATGTAGAACCAGAGGAAGTCTGTAACTAGTTTTGTCTAATGTCCTGGCACTAGAAGTGGTTAAAACAATATTCAGAGAAGGAACAGATGCTCAGCATGGAAGAGTACAAAAACATTCTTTTTTACAATTTTGAAGAAGAAAGAAGGGAAGCAAAAGCACTAGTAAAAGGGTGCTCTGAGTGAGAAACAAAGAGTTGAAGATTTAAGAGAAGATGAAGCAGCATATTGTTCTGAATATATATGCATAAATATATATTGGAAACAAAACTATGATGAAAATAACATGGTGATTGTAACTTTGTGACTGTTCCTTCGTGTGCCCCGTCCCCTCCCCCCCACCCCCTGTTGGTACAGCTTTATTATTCAGCTTTTTTGAATCACAGGATTTTTCCTTAATTTGCCTTACTAACTTTCTGCCTCTGTTGTCAATAGCTTTTTGTGGAAAAAAAGTTAAGTTTCCTACTGCCTTACCCTTAAATTCACATGTAGTGATCTGGCTTCTGAACACCTGTCTGAAATCCTCAATATACTTTTTTTTCTTGAACTTTTTCTGGTATCTTCTTCCTATATAGTGTAATTTTCTTTGACATCTGTCTTGTAGATCACCCATATTTTGTGGGAGTTCAGTTCCACCCAGAATTTTCCTCAAGACCTATGAAACCTTCACCTCCATACCTTGGACTGTTGCTAGCAGCAACTGGGACACTCAATGCATACCTTCAGCGTGGATGTAAATTGTCTCCAAGGTAATCTTTCTTTGTTACTTGCCTGCAGTTTGACAGTCACATTTTTGGAGGGACTATCCCATCCTTCAATTCAGAAGTCCGGAAGAGGATGAAGAGTTCTTCATGTGTTGATTTACTTGTTTCTGTACATGCCTGTCATAAATCCTGGTCTAAAATAACCTGTAGCAGAAAACACAGTTCCTGACTTTCTCCTTTTCAGGAGCTATTAGGGATGAAGCCATAACCCCACATTATAATCAGAAAGAAGTAAAAAACCTTCAGTAAATTCATGTGAAGCTGGTGGCCTCCTGTACTAGCTTCCATTGACAGTAGTTTCTGAGGGAAAGAGGTTTGCTAGAGAATCAAGCAATGAAGTGAAATTCTTACCTAGTTGTAGTTGAATGATGATAGCAACAACAATGAAAACACTAATTTTATTTTGAAGTAGCCAAATAATAAATACTATCTTGCAGAGACAGGCCTGAAACAAAACAGTTGGGGTATCTTTAGACTTATGGAAGCGTTTGGATCTAGATCAAAACTGGATGGTTCAGCTAAACTAAAACTCTTTGTCCTGATTCTCTTGGACACGAAGGTTTTGGGTTGTTGAATGTAGCAGTATTTTTTAGCCAGTGTTAACTAATTCTTGTTTATTTCAATGATATTAAAACAGTTACAATTGTATTGTAATAGGAATAATAAAGCGGTCAGAAGGAAACTTAGGGCACAATAACAAAAATGAAAAAAAATGACTGAATAGTAATGCTGAACTGATGCAACTCTGGCATATTGACTTTTTTTCTAAACATGGCACCAAACTTATTAGTTTTGTGGGTTGGGCTGCTTCCCCCCCCCTCCCCTCGAGTGCTGTGTTCTATTAAAATGAAGTCGTTTTGTTGAGAAATAGAAATTTTATTCAGGTTTGAGTAGTAATGGAAAATAGCCAAGCCAGACCAGACCAATCTGGTTTGGTAACCTACTCCTTTATGGGTATATCAGTTGACTTTATAAATGCATTTCATCTTTGTTCATCCTGCCCAGTTGTGCAATAATGTACATACAGAGAGAATTATTATTTCTGATCTGCAAAGTACAGCTTGATTGAAATATTCCTATTACCTTAGCCTGTCATTGTAATAAGTGGTCATAATGTTAGCTACCTTTTAAAATCTGTGCTGATGCAATACATAGGTCAGATTTTTGTGGTGCTTGGCAAGGGGCAGTCTTTGACCACAGTGATATTCTGTCTTTCCCGCTTTGTGAGTTCTCTGCCTCACTCTTGATCTTGTTTCCGAGGTCCCAATATCTTTTCTCACACTGCTTCATCCCATAGGTAAAACTATTTATCTCTGAGATAAAGAAAAACTACTTTTTTTTTGATGAGTGATCTGTACATGTCCTGCTAATTTAAATCCCTTAGCATTATAGCAACTATGCTATTTAAACTTGACTTTAATTTTTGGCAATTACGGAATATGCCACACTTAGACTTGTTTGAATTAATCATTAAAAAATTATACACAGCTCTTTTTCTTCACGTTCATACAATAAACTCCAACCAAACCTTAAACATTTAGCAAAGACATTCATACCCCAACACTTATATATAAAGTTACAGATTTTACCATTTACAGCAATCAAGCAAAACCCCTGTGTCTTGAGAAAGAGCACTGGAATAGAAAAACATTTAGAGGCTAAAAGAGGAGCATTATGTAGGGAAGAATGTTCAGAAGGGAATTTCAGTGCTAATTACAGCACACCCACTCATATTAAGATGTCCACCTGCTGAGTGGAAAGGATTTCCAAAGTAAACCTTTAAACCCCAGAATGCTTGTGATTTCACTGAGCTGTAAAGCTAAGGCAGGTCATAGCAAGACTGAGAGAAATCTGAGGAGAGGCTTTTCTGCACAACTCATCTAGCACTGCCTGCATGAGCTGTAGTCATGCTGTGGACTAGAGCAAAGATGTAACCTGAAAGAGAATTTGTGGAGATCAGCAAGTTGAACAGATTGCCTAAACCAGGCTATTATAAACACTAAAAGGAGAGGTAATGATGAAGTCCTGAGACAAAAGGAAATATGTATTTCAGCATGAGAGTCTTAACAGGAAACCATTACCCCAAAACATTTAACAGCCCCATAATTAGGGTGCAGTTTTAGAACATCTGACACCTGGACAGAAGCCCTAGCTTCTAAGCAAAGCTAGTAGTAAATTTAAAGATGCATTACAACTCCCAGGAGAGTGCCCTAAATAAATAAAAGTGAATAAACCTTCTCTTAAAATTTTGTGAGGCCTAGTCTGGTAGAGACATAGGCACACATGGGCATGACCATACCTAGTTTGAGACTGGAATGTATCTTCAGGGGTTTTAAACTTAGTTCTCAGAAGCTTTGGTATGTATAGAGACAGTCGAGAACTGAGCAAAGGATCAGAGTAACTCAGTGATGAGCTATTACTTAGTTACCTGAAGTGGTAGTTGGGCACCCAAGTTGCCTTTGTGGTTTCAGCCTCTCATGCTTTATGCCATGAGTGCCCAGCCATCAAACAAAGCCATGCACTTCATTTCCTTGTTGAATGGTTTTAGATCATGACCTTTTCCACATCTTTCCATGGAAATACTGAAGGCACCATTTCATATAGAAGTGAGGCAGGTGGGAGGCTTCCAGTTTACATGTTTCATTTTCAAGGATAGGGAAAACTAGATCCAGATGAGACTCTCAAAGCATACAATACCCACAAATAGACTGCTTTGTAAGAGAAAACAGAAGGGTTTAATAGAAAACTAGTGGATGAAGAGGGGAACTTCACATATAATGTTGTTGGCTTTTACTGAGTCTTACATAGTTTCATTTGGAAAAAATAATAAAAACTGGCTTATCTTTAGGAACAGTGTAATATGGGTTGCAGAATCACTGATGTACAATAAAGCCGTGTTGCTGGTTTGTTTTGGTTTGTTGGTTTTGGGGTTTTTTTCCCCATAGCAAGTTTAGCATCAGCAGGCTTTATTTCTTTGTCCTCAACCTACACCTTTATTAATGGCCTGCAAGAATAAGCCAGAGTGCATTAATTATGTTTGCAAATAATGCCATTTAAATAAGAGCTGAAAGCACTGCTCAGAACAAAGAAATAACATAAAAGTATGTAGGGAATTTAGAAATCTGTGCTGAATATAGTGACATCTTTGGAGGAAGAGGATAAAGAGCTGAAGATAAATAATTTAAACACAAATGTTCAATAGATGGGAGAAAATGTAGGAAGTCAGAGATGTTCCTAGGTGAGAAAGTGTGGGCAGCTATGACTACTGCCAAAAGAAATTTTCGTAGATCATTAGTGAATATACTAATGTGAGGCACCAATCCAATGCCATCATGGAGTACTCTCTTGAGTTTCAGGCAGGTTATTAATAAAAGATGACTTATGAGTTGTGTTCAGAGACAAGGAACAAAAGTGGCCAGAGAAGAGAAGGAGTGGTGCATTAAGAAAACCGCCAGAAACCTCAGAAAATTTGCCCATGTGGAGCTTACTGCAGTAGCATGGTCCAGCTATCTCCCAGGTCAGCTATGGAGGAAAGTTTGGGTGAGCACCTATGAACAGAACAGAAAAGAACCTGTGTGACATGTTCTGGTGTATGAAAGACAAAAGCAGTATGGGCAGGGCTATCTCTGATGTCCCCTGTACATTGTCCCCAATCAAGAATGCATCTGGCATAGCATCTGCCATTGGCCAAATCCAGGCATATCAGATTAAAGTGAAAGAAATTATGTGATTTGAAGACTGTCAAGAGAGCAGCAAGAGAGGGGCTGCTCCACAAAAGATGACAATCCAGGAGCCGGGGTGGCAGCTGCCCTGGTAGGGAGAGGACTGGCAGGAGTCAGTACTGCAGTCTCCAAAGAAGGCAAGGGGTCTGGCTCCAGTGACAGTCACCACTGGGGAAGGCCCCAAGTGAGGATGGTCCAGGCAGCAAAGACCTCTTGTTACCCTCAGTGCTCTTAGAGAAAACTATGGAAGAGTTTTAAAGGAAATCTTCTCTTAACCATAGTGGCACTTAGTAATGGTTGGTTAAGTCCGTTACTTTGTCATTTAAGTGTTAGATGTTTACAGTGAAGACCCTTCTGAGCTAGTCACCTCAAGTCATTTTCTGTAGTCATTAAATGAAAATGCACTTCAAGGAGCCAAATAGCTCATTATTATTGTTATGTGGGTCACATACACATTATGTGCTGCAAGTGCCTATTTCTCTCCACTGATTGTAAGAAGCTGGTGGTAAGTATCTCAGATGAAGATGTTATCTGAGGTCCAGTTACGTGAGTGCAGGTGTCTGGCAGATTGGGACTGGGGACTCAGGTGTGTCCTGAGGGATTCCTTAATGAAATGATGTTTTGTTGAAGCACAGGATTGTATAATGATGATCATCATAATAAATGTTATATAATTTTTTTGACCATATAATGATCATAGAAATGTGCACTGCATATGGGTGACTGCAGTTATAACCATTGCACGGTCAAATATGCATTTATTCTAAGTAATGTTTTAATGACTATAATATCTTTAATAATTCAGCTTTTTGGGGAGGAAATAAATGATAATAATTAACAGATTTCCTTTTGCTGGGTTCTCGAAAGCTAAACAATTGTTTGTTTTAAACAACCACAGCCTGTACTAAATCTAATTACATTTATCTTTAATTTGCACTGAGAAAGAAATGCATTTAGCTTGGCTCCTGCCTTTGCAGGGCATAACATTACTGTAACAATTGTTTAAATTGCTTACATTTCTGGAAAATGAGTTTTTTGTCAATTTTACATTAAAAAAGAGAAAAAAAAGATCCTCTGAAACTGTCAAATACTTTGTTTCTAAAGAATGTGGATTTTCCAAGGGAAACAAGTAGAATGTTTGGGGAGTACCCATTTTACAGTTGCCTGTGTTTCTTAATAAGAACACTGAAAGCAGGCAGTGTGGTGCTTTTAAGCAGCTGTTTGGAACATACAGGTTTAAAATTGATCTTGAGTCTTAATTCTAGTGATTTTGCAGCTGAGGTAATGCATTCCAGCTACATGTCATATGGCCCCAGCAGTCAGCTGCCTTCTATACCATACCAATAGGGAATCTTCTCATCTTGCTTCCTTCCATGCTTTAGACTGAGGAATAGCAGGGAGATGATGATGCTTCTCTCAGTAGAAAAGCAAGATCTGCAAGGGGAATTAATTTGATAATAATGCACAAGCAGGGGAAAGCTCTTTTTATTGTTTACGTCTTTAGAAGACAGAGATCTGAGGATGAGTGAACTTCAAAACAAAACCCTGTAAGGTAATTTCTCAACAAAGGATGTTTTCTTTGCTCAGGTCAGGAAATACGTTGCAGTTCACTGCAAAGTGAAATGCCAGTTAGGTTCTAAGAAGTGTTCTGCGTTAACTTAAGGAGTTTCACATTCGTTAACAGCAAAGGGAAATACCAGCTAGGTACTGGTTAATATTTCACTGTGCAGTGAATGTATTTCCATTAACTACAGCTAGATTAGATGTAAGGATCAAAGTGACCAAAATTCTTCATCTTAAAGACTAAAGTGACTGACTTTCTAGGTGCAATGACGCTGCATACTCTTTGAGTTTTGTTTTTTTTTTCCTTGGCCACTTCTTTATACTGCAAATCTCACAAAAAAAAAAAAAGGAATACAGCTGCTGGGGTTAGATCTTATATCTAGTGGCCTTAGATCTTCTCAGTAGCTGCTTTTTGTTGGACTCCACTGTTATAAGAATTGTTACAAACAAGATGAAGGGGGTGTCAGGTTACTGCCCAAGATAATTACTAATTAATTTCTGCAAACTGGGAGCAGGCTTGAGAAGTTGGGGAAATGATGGAAGCATGTGGTGCTGTGTGACTGCTTCTATGGGCATATGCCTCTAAAACCTGTGACCTTGGGTGGCAGAGGACCTAGGAGGAGAGTGCTGGCTGGGAATCAGCGCCTACCTGCCTTCAAGAGATGAAGCTGGGCAGTTCTCCACTCACTTCACTCACTCCCTGAGCATTTTCCCTTAAGCATCTGACTCCTATACTGTGCTGTATACAGAGCTCTGGCATGTTTTACAGCTGTGACTGTCACTGGGCAGCAGAGCTAATTTAAAAAAAAATTCTCTGAAGACTTTGGTCTTAAATCAGGGCAATCATAAGATTACACAGCTCTCTACAATCACAGTTTTACTCTGTTCTGTGGATGGTATTTGCTGTTTTGCTGTGATGTGAAAATACGAAACTGTTTAATAATACTGAATTTTTGTTCCATGTTTCCATGGGTACTTTCAGAAAAAAGTAAGTACAGCGTCGGTGATGTTGTGTTTGTCTGTGTGCATCTGGCATGCTTGATCATACTGTTAACAACACTTTCCTCACTTGAACTGTGTAATTGATTGCCAGCTGGTGAAATGATCAAATTGAGCATTTCACGCTAGGCTGATATGACACGCTCTTTGTAAGAACCACATCAGCAGCATGTGTGTCATGCAAAGAAAGGGCAAAATGCTGTAGGCAAAATCTTAATGTTAGGACAGCCAGAATAGATATGCTGTTTTATACAAAACTTGGTACAGTGACTTGCTGTAACTGTGGGAGGCTTTCTTAACAGTCAGAGATAGAAATTAAATGAGGTGACTGCTGGTGCCACTCTGCCTGTCCCACGCTATTAAAAGGCTGATCTTTTACTTGTTCTTTCTTAGTTTTTCTTTTCACTCAAAGAAGAGACAATGAAATTCAGGCAACAAAGCAGTGCTCAATAACAAGCACTAGTATAGCTGAGTGCAGTTTGTTCACTGTTCCCACATTGCAGTCTTAATCAAAGATCTCTAGCTATGAAGCTACACAGTTCCCCTTGAAACATTACCCAGCAGGCAGTCACTGGGGATCCATGGATAAGGCTGTGTCTAGGTGAGTCAGGGGCTGCTTACGTTCTTGATGTCTCAGAAGGAGATCTGCCCCTAGGTGGGGAGCATGACCTGACTGAGGTCCTGTTGGCCTGGAGGATGAAGGTGTATGTGGTGAAAGCGAGATGTGACAAGACAGGTGTGCAGAGGCTGGCGTAGAGTTGGTACCCAAAGCTGTGTGAGGTCTGAGATCCCCACCTGTACTGTATTAACCATAACCTATGCTCTGAATTGTCATGGGACTGACCAGAATTACTGTTGCTCAAATGTACTTGTGAGTTCCCTGGGCTCCCTTTGCTGGCTTCTGATTTTGAGAAATTCAAATATATGGAAAGCAGAATGCAGAAATGAAGTATGGTAGGGGTAGGTTGACGCTGGAGGCACTTCTGAAGTGCACTTCAAGTTAAGATAAACCTGGAGACCCAACAGACTTCACAGCTGACTGAAAATGTGGTTGGTGGGCACTTATTTCTCTCAGTTGCTGTGGTGATTCCTGTTCTTTACTGTTTCCCTGTTCTGGCCACTTATAAAACAATCACTTGCATGGCTGTTTGTTCTGTGAAAACCAATCTGCTTCTCTCAGGAAACAGCAGAAGGGGATAAAACCTTAGGAAAAACTGTCAGGATATTGATTGGTGCAATGAAAATGATTTATGTTCTGACTGGAAGAACAAAAATTGTAATTTAAGTGTTAGTTGAAGAATTCTGAGTAGATAAAGTTATCTTAACTTTTTCTTTGGTCAAAACAATGATTATCGTAAAGGAGAAATTCCTTTTATTCTTGCTCTGAATACCTGTTATTCTCCATGTTGTTAATCGTGATTGTAGCCACACAGCACTAGCAAACTGTAGAATGAATGTACAGGAGCCAAGCAAAAAGAAATTGAGCATACTGTTTATTAGGTAGAATATTTTTTCTTGTCAGGTCTTAAACTCCAAACTTAAGCCCATTCCTTTAGAGAAAGATGTTCTTAAGTTTTCTGGAAATGGGTTGCATTTGAGGAAAGTGTTGATCATATGCATCATGGGTTGGAGGGTTTGAAATAAAATATTTGGTTTAGATCCTTCTGAATGCTTATTGCTTCCAACAGCGACAGCTACAGTGACCTAAGCGATGACAGTTCTCCAGAAAAAGAGTTTCCTAATCCTGGCACAAGCTGAAACGATTGTATGAGATTACAGAAATGGATGATGCTATTGAGGTAAACTGAATCATTTTGATACTACTTTATGGTACTTATTTCTTCTAGACTTAAAACAGGAGGCAAAGTTAACTTAATTCTCCCTTTTGTTTCAAATCCCATCTGAGAGCTTATGTCTTCTTTCTTGCCTGTAGCACTTGTTTTTCTCTTCTGCTGCTTAACTCTGTAATTGTGATATTAAAGTCTGCTAAGTGTTTTGAGTACATCTTATATGTAGGATGCTATACAAAATCAAGTTGTGTTACTGTTTGAAGATATATTGAAAATACATTTTTAAATTATGTCTTATTTTTTTGTTACTTCAGTTTGCAAGTTGGAATCACTTTGAGTATACTACGTAGACATGACTTTTTATTTTGCATTAATATTCACCTTTATTTGCATTTGATGCATTGATACCACAAAGACATCCCAACATAAGTACTTGGATTTAATCTGCAGAGTGATAGAGATACAAACGAATTTTATAAAATCATAGCTTTGTTTCCCATAGGCTTTGCCAGACTGGTGTTGGATCATTTATTTATTAACCTGTAAACATGGTAGCCATAAATTTAATTTCAGTATGACACACCTGATCTCTGCAGGATCTGGGTTTGAAACTTAGCCTTACTCTATTTTCACTGTGCAGATTCATGAGAGTTGTGGCTGGTATGGCACTCTGATTCATGTTTTTCTGAGCACTTCTGTAAGCACGACACAACTTTCCCCTCTGATTTTATTCCTCTCACGTGGTGTAGTCATTAAGCAGCTGTGCCAAACAGACAATTAAGGCTACACATGAATGATGCATTTCTGCCTGATGATCTCCTGATTGAAGTACAGGCATGAGATGCTAGAAATTGGAGTTCAGTCCTTGGCTGCAGCCTGAGTTTCTTCTGGGATTTTCAGTTTATTTCTTTTTCCATCTCATGTACCACATATTAAAAATAATAACCCATCCCAAAATCATGAGAGCAGAGAACAGAATGTTAAATGATTTCATGACCTGGTACATATCGATACAGTACTGATGCATGTTGTAAAATGACCAAAAAATAAGTAAGCAAAATGTTCCTTTTCACTCTTGCCTGGATCCTTCCCACCTCCAAACGTCACAATGGTTATGTTTCTTGAGACCAGCACAAAGTACGGGACAGCCCCTTTAGCTTTGTCCTTACTTTGCTTTATGAATGGTAGTTCTCTGTTTACTGTTGCAGCTCTGGCTTGTTCAGTGTGTGGATGAATGTACTTTTGTGATGCTTTTAAGCGGTTATCAGTAGTCAGGTTGATTTTGTTTGCACGTGTTACTGGTGGATACCAGTTGTATTCAACAGAATTACTCTAGAAAGTACTAAAAAACTAAATCTGGATATAAAAGAAGGATAGAAGCATTGGTTCATTTATTTTTATCTCGTAGTTAATTCTACCCATTAATCAGAGCTGGGTACACATGTAGACTATATTTAGCTTTGTGGTTTTGTTTTGTGCTGTTTGAAGCAGATGAAATGAATCTACTTTAGTATTTACCATAGGACTACTTTGGAGTCAGTCAGCAGCTTTGAGTGAAAATTACATAAGCGTGAAATAAACTGAGTTAGAGAGAAAATGTTTTTAATCATTGATTTTTTTACATTTATTTTTTCTTCCCCTCCCTCTTTTTATGTTACAGAAACTTGGGAACAAAACAATATTGAAGAAAGTAGAAGAGTAAGCTGCTTTCAGTTCTCATACTGTCTCCTCCTCTATGGCTTTCAGTAATTCTCATTACAGATGACAGTTTAACTGTCCTGTAGCAAAAACAGTTCTGTGTAAATGCTGTTTCTCTTTAAAAGTTACAAAACAGGTGTGCACCTTAGCTGTTAATCATTATTGATCTTGTTCTATGTTTCAGAGTGATCTCAGGTGAATATGTATTAATTCACTAGTTCACAGCTGTTCTTGATTTGAAGAAAGATTTGACTGGTTTCAATTTGCCTTAGAACAGGAAGACAAAACGCATTAGTTCTTGGGAGTGAGAGGGAATGCAGTAAAACATTTAAGGGAAAATTGTCTTATTCTTGAGCAGTAGAAAACTGTTTCAGATTTGTTTCCCTGTTAAGCTTGTATATATATTTTTTTTTTAACTTTTTTTGCTGTTCAATATGTACAAATGAAAAATTGTTGCTATATTTCAGCTCTTTGTGATTGTAATAATTAATGTTGGATACACATTTTTTCACTTTGCTCTTATAAGTGATTTGATTCCACATAAGTTCATTTGCTCTATTTCTCCTGGAAGTCTGGTAATACTGACCTGCAAAATTACAGAAGTGATATTAGAAGCTGGTTTTGTATTTATATTTTGTAAGAGAGAAAGTAAATACAATCATATTGAACACTTGTGTGAAAGTTGTAGAAGAACCAGTCACAAACCTGGAGTGTTTTCTAGGATGTTTTTCTGCATCCAGTGACCACTCCATTGTCACAGCACTTAATCCCCAATAGAATACAATGATGTGTTTCAATTTAAAAATCACAAGTTCTTCCACTGCATGCAAACAACTGCAAGCAGCCCTCCAAAGCCAGGACTGGAGCCTGAATCACTGAGACAGGAGAGGAAGGCGAGAGGTGCTTTACTGGGTGTAAGGCTGGATCCCATTAGCAGTGGGGCATCATCAAACCTGTCACAGAAGCTGGACCTGAGCTAAGTAACTGATGGGCTCCAGATGCCTGGAACACACTTTCCTATAAAGAAAAATTCTGAATTCTGAGTGTCATGTTTCATTTTGGTTTTGGGCAAAATGACTTTTTAAAAATTCATCAAAAATTAAATATCTGCACAAAATTAAAAGGCACCATGTCCCTTATTACAGCTTTGTTAAACATCAAGTTTGAAGCTTTGCATTGCTCTAGGAAATCTCAGGTTACACAGCCAGTTTATCTCTTTAGTAAAAGAAGCTTTAATGATAGTGAAATATAAAATGTATTCCTATGGCATTACTTTTCTAAAGGAGTTTACAAATGTGTGCCTTAGAAATAGTTATTGACAGAATTGATGTCACTGTGTGTATTCCCCACTGAGAGGCACTGGCTACTGGTTTGTGAAAAGTGAAGAATTTCCTAAGATTGTCTATAATGTGCAAATGTATTTTCAAAATATTTTCAATAAATGGTATTATTCAGAAGTGTTTGGATACCTAGTAAAGAATCATTGTGCCAGTTGTGAACTGCGGTGTCAAGGAGGGAATTGTTCATTTAGTCGTGTCCCAGTTGTATCGTCTGTGAGAAACTGTCTTTTATCCAAAAAAAAAGAGTATCTCCTTTGAGCCTGTAGATTTTACTAGCCTAAAGATAGCTAGTACTAGCTAAACTACTCCCTTTGGGAAAACCTGACTGTAGATCAGTTGGGTGTGTTGGAGGATGACATTTAAAATCTATGCCTGCCTTACCCAGAAAGTGGTCCTGTGCTGATTCACCAGCTACATTCATATTTTCCCTCACAGCAAGTTTGGTAGCTTGGTTGAGTTGGACCAGAAGCTCTGCTTGTTTTTAAACAAGGGGAGCAGCATCTAAGTTTGGATGTGACTGCGCAGTAGGTATTGCACTAACTGATATTGTGGAGAGCCATATCTTACTTTTTCTGGTAAAGTACTGCATCTCAGCAGCACAGGTACCTGTTTCACTGTAAGCTTTACAAGTGAGGTCCTTCAGCACCTGCCTTAACATATTTTAATATGTACTCGAAACCTCGAAGCTGAGGTTTCTTATGCTTATTTAGCAGTTCAGAGAGATAACCTTCATGTGCTAGTGTAATGCCTGCAGAGGTTGAATCTAATGGATCTAACTGATACATATATCCAGGTTTTCCTGAGACACTGAGGAGGATTTGCTCAGCCAAACAGACTATTCCTCATGAGGGAGTACTTGTGGAAGGGTGTTGTCATATTAATATCCCACAAAAATGTGACTTTGTTGATTTAGAATGGTACAGAAGAGGGCTTACTGCCACCTAGGATTCATGGGACTCAGGCATACTTCTCCTGAATTCCTCTGCAGACATCTAAGCCCTAGTTTGCCAGGAGAAAACTAGAAGTTTTGAGCAATAGCTTAAAAGTAGAGGTTGAGTTCTGTGCAAGATTCTGTGTAAGCAGGAATTGTAGCCCCAAGATAAAGGAAGTTTTCAGGAAAGAAAAGGCAGATTGACAACAATCACAAGGGCAGGGGCTTGCTGCCCAGAAGGATATGGAGGAGGTTAAGGGAGGGTCAAGTGTAAGAGTGTGATTTTCTGGTCTGAGCTAACCTCCTCACGGGAGCTATGTTACAGCTACCACAGCAAGTGAAAGGTTCTCCCTAAACTCTGTGTGTATCAGTGACAGTAGGAAGTGTGATTACAGCATACAGGACTTCTGAGCCAGGTTGGCTACAGCTAGCAGCAAAGCCAGATCGGCATGGAAGTGAACAGGAGCTGTGGAAACCTGTGTGGGACTGGCCGAAGCTCATTTCCTGCAGCTTCACTGCTTGCATATGTGACGTGACTAAATCTGTTGAGAAAGGGATTAGGGTGGAGCAAGGAGGTGATCAGACTAATGTTTCTCTTGGGAGAGCAGGTGGCCTCCTCCAGCATCCTGCGGAAACTCACGCACTGCAACATGACAGGGGAAGTAAACATGTTCTAATTGTTTCTGTACCTGGGACTAAATAACACCTCATCCTTGCATGCAAGAAAGAGAAGGCTTCTTCACTGGGAAACTGACTTGAAAGTTGTGGTGTATTTCTGTGCTTCAGCATTTTATCCCACATAGTGCTTAGCTTTTCCCTGCTAGCATAGTGAATCAGTGACTGTTAGCTCTGTGATAACTTCCAGGCAAACTCTTCCCCTTACCACTTCACCCTGTCCCCACTGTTGACATGGTCAGCACTTCGTTCAAGCATATCACGCATTTTCCCAGTGAGCAGCCTTTATATTTTTGATGGTTATGAACTTAGTATCTCAGATATTTCTCAATTAGTTGGGTTCGCAGTACTGTCTACATTTTTCAGGTGTTCAGCTGTACCTGAATTGGTAACTACCATGTGATAACAGGATGAAATGAAGTAAGGACTCATCTAAAATAATAATATGAAAAGGATCTACATATGTTCTACTGTATAGGAAGTTCATATTTGTGTAATTCCCCTAAAATGACTCACAATATTTATGTAAGCATCTATTATATGTTCAAAGAAAATGTCTATGTTGCCTCAACTGGAAATTCACTCTGAGTAGCAATTCCAGATATGTTGATTTTCCAATCTTTGGCTGATTCTCTTGATTTTATCTGTAAGCTTTCTTTTTAAACACTTTTTTTATAAAATGTGAATTAACTTTTCATGGATCACAGAAGTAGACTGGTTCTGTTGGTCTTTATTCCTATACAAGTGAGTCATCTTCAGTTCTATCTGATTCCTTTCTCCTTAAAATATACCTCATGGATTGCAGGATTTAACATCCTGCTCTGACCTAGCTGACCTGCTGCTAGAGTAATGTCTGTTGAACTGTCTTTCATCTTGTGAAAACTGTACTTTAATCTTTACGCTTTGATGGTTTGTTTGTGCATGGGATATTTTCTCTGCTTGTAGCATCCTACTTCATGTGAGGAAATTGGTTGTCTTACTGGACTTCTGGTAACATGCTCTCACAGGTTTGGATCAGAGCCTAGAAAACCAGCTTTGCCTGAAGTGTGGACATTCTGTGTTTCAGAAATGCTCTTGGGAAGGCAAGTCTGTCTTTTCTACCTCTGTGGGCTCTCTGTTAATAATTTAAGAGACTTAAAAGTTGGAAGCTGCTAGTGAAGTTAACGGTAGCATAGTTTGGATAGCCTAAGAATTGACCCAAGTCTTTGAATAAAGCATAGTCCGAAACTCCATATATTTAAAGGAATATTTAGGACAGTCTGCTCTAAGCTTCCACATGACATAAGCTCACCCAGTAACAGCTTCAATAACCAATGATTTCGCAGAGTCAATCTGAGAAATAAAAATATTACCTTAGTTGTCTTTTAGCTTGAATATCGCTTTTGCTACATTTAGAACATGCTCCTCATTGTCTCAAGTATAAATTAGCAATTTGGAGAAATAATGTAGTTTTGGAGCAAACTCTCTCCATTCACTATGTGTGATTGGTTTCCCACAGCAGCTGTTGTGCACCAGACCTCAGATCCTTTTGGAGGAAATAAAACTGAGGATCTATTCCAAGAGCTGGTGTGATTCAGTTCTGAAACCACCTGGAGAAGCACACTGCTATGGATGCCTCCAGCATTGTGTGTTTGCCAGTAGAAAGCTCTCAAACCATCAAGTGTTCTGTGACACCCAAAAATGGTTCCTATCCTGTATGGATATTGTATTCACCGTCCTATCAGCAATTTTTTTTTTTTTATACCGAATACTTCCTCAAGCTTCAACACAAGACACCAAGCTCTGAGTTGCTGGGAACATATTTCCATGTAAGACCAGAAACCAGGCAGCACAGTCCTCGAGTCACCTTGGATGGGTCTGATCTAGGTCCTCTTTGAGCTTGTTAAGCACTCTACTTGAGTGATGGGACATTATGCAAAACGCAGCGTCACAGATAATCCTTGTTTTAAAACAGGTGGACCATGCTTATATAAGCACCTGCACAGTATCACCTTAGTTAAACACTGATACCTATATGTGAGCAACTCACTGCAGGCTCCTTTTGTACTCAGCAGAAGGACCAGGTGCTTTTCAATCATCCTTAGTAGATCAGATGAATAATGCTTCTTTCTTGACATGAACCTGAAAGAAGAGCCTGGCCCAAACAGCTCAGATACCAGTGTTTGGTCAGATGATTCTGTTCATCATGTGTAGGTGCTGAAGTGGGGATTAGTCATTACCATCAGCTCATCATTACTAATCAGCTAGATGTAGCTGGCTCCATGTTTTGGGAGGGCTCTGATAAGCAGGCTCACCCCTGGACAGCTGAAGTTTCCCCAGAGTACAACATTCACAGTTCCCTAGGGCCTCAAACCCATCTTCGTGTTAGTTGAAGCCTTAAATTTAGCAAGCCTTTCTTGCCAAAGCCCAGCAGGACCCTGTCCCAGTGTCTCCCCAGCACCTCTGACTGCTGTTAACTGGGACCAGTTCCATGCAGCAGCAGCAGCAGTAGAATCTGCTGTCATGTGGTATCATGGAGTGTGCCTCACTCCCTCTCTTGTGGAATAATAGTCTGTTTCCCAGAGCACTCCCCCAGGATGTAGGATACATGACCAATTTCCTCCCGAGTTTCAGAGGCAGCCAGGCCCCCTCTCCATCGGGGGCTGCCCACTCCGCAAGGTAAAGGCCAGTTCTCAGTGCCAGTGTTCCTTGCTGTCATAACATTAGGAAAATCTGCAAAAACACCCACTAGTTCTATGTTGGAGAAACAGCAAGGATATGATTCTGTAGGTGAGGCAACAGGAGGTTCCTTGGGAGGGAGGAAGGGAGAGCACCTGAGCCCATGTCTTTAGACTGCATATGAATTTAAGAATAAAAGACAGAAACAGTTGTTGCCAAAGAAGCCAAAGGACAGGACTCCCATTTGTTAAGCCAGTGCCATGGCAAATAGGCTTTCTCTTTTTGGCCAAATAAGTCTTGAGCCCTGTTCTCTGGGGTGGCACAGACTGAACAGGAAAGAGTGACAGCACCTCACCTCTTTTTCTCTCCTATGGCTGGAACTTGCTGCATCATTGCTTTGTCCATCCGCTTATTGTCCCTGCTGGCCCATGAGAGCCTGTGCCAGCTTTTTCTTATGCCAGCCTCAGGCAATAGCTTATTATGTTTTCCTGTGCTGGATGTGCTACTCATTCATCTGTCCTACCCAGGATTTTAATTGAGTTTATTCCAAAAAGGGATAGAAAGAAGCTTGTACACATAAAAGAAAAACTGTTCTGAGCATAGTTCCAATGCCTGGAAGAGCTTGAACTCTTGTTAACATACCTGCCTAATAATATGCCTTGGTTGAGTCTCAAGGTTTGAGAAGTTGAAAAGGCATACAGAATTTTGAACAGTGAAAACATTAACTTCTAAGGCTTGTGGCTGGCTAATGTACTTTCCCTGTGTTTAGTCTTGGGATCATAATGTGGCATCATTTACAATGCTTGGTCAGTACTAGTTTATAGTACTCCTAATTTAGAGTTGTATCTGTGTA